TCCGAGGAGTGGCTGGTGGGTTTGAACCGCCAGCCTTCTGGTTAGCAGTCAAGTGCCTTAGGCACTATGCTACCAGAGCTCCTTAATTTAAGGATATGCATTGGTTATGACCAGGGAAGGACCTATTCATTTGGCAAAGATTTGACTCCATGCTGTCATGCTTTGCCCTCTGAGAGCTGTCCTTCTACCCACCTCCACTACTGGGGTCTTCTGGGATTTCTAAAACCCTCAACAACACACTCAACAGCCTGGCTGCACACCCACCCCTCCAAAATCCAGTTCACTACTTGTGAATGGGGAGCTCTGGTAGCATAGTGCCTAAGGCACTTGACTGCTAACAAGGAGGCTGGCGGTTCAAACCCACCAGCAGCTCGTCGGAAGAAAGATGGGGCAATCTACTTCCGTGGAGATACTGCCTCAGAAACCTAAGGAGGGGTTGCTATGAGTCGGGTCCGACTCGACAGCACATAACAACAACAACAACTCATGAATGTGTTTAGGCCATGATGGTGCCTCAAACCTGCAATAGTCATGCCACATGTCCTGTAGTATTCAGAAGAGTCCAGAAAGGGAAAAAAAAATGTTTAAAAGTTCCTTTGGAGAAAGCAAAGGTGGGCTCCGTGTTGATAGAAAGGAAAGATGGAATTCTATGATCAAGCATTGCATCCAAAGAGTCTCAAAGGGGGAGCCTCTGCAGAGCGGCTCTTCAAACACAGAGCCCTTAAGAGAAACAATACCGAGTGTTGAGTGAGTCAAAACAAATACTGAAAATTATTGTCATACTGGTGGTTTGGGTTCAAAATGCCTGCTTCCCTTTCCCTGTTTTGTGGGTAACACAAGTCAGTTTAAGCAACCAAATAATTTGTTTGCTGGGAGGGCTTGAAGAAAAATAACAGCACAAGGCTTTTAAAAGATAAATACTTGGGAAGAACACTTGACTATGAAATGATGTTATTTAAGGAAAGGTATATTTTAAACAGATGGGTCAACAAACTCTACTGGACATGAAAATAGAAACTGAATTCTTAATTCTTTATCAGTGAGTTCATCAAAAACCTACACATCAAGAAAAACATATCACAAAGCATACACACTATATTTTCATAGAAGACATTGCTCATTCATAAACTGTGCTTGTCTGACAAGTCAGAACAATTCAAGAGAAACAGCTCTCCTTTCTCAGTTGTACCTTACAAGTCTGTCTTCTTTTCTTCTTGAAGTTAACCATTCATTAGGGGTGAACAATCTCAAAAAGTATGATCTATTAAGCCAACGGGCTAGAAGTTGCAAAGCTGATGTTAAAACGCAAATGTGCTGACTTACCTGGATGGCTCTGACATTGGAAACCGGCTGTTTCGACATGTTCACGTGGTCTTATCCCTAACAAAACAAGGAAGAAACTGTTAGAGATGGCAGCATTCAGATTCTCAGTCTTGATAAATTAGAATTTAACTCATGATTCCACTGGGCCGTCACCTCTTTCACTGGCCATATATTCTTTCAGTCTCAGTTTCCAAAGTTACTTAGAGCCTCTCCTTCCTAATGCCTCAGGGAGAGGGAACACTAGAGCCCCCAGATTAATCATTCAGGAGGAGAAATGGTGAGATGCCTCGCCCCTGATGCCAGTGATAGGCAATCAGAAACTTGAAAGGCGCTATCATCTCCCTCCTGCCCTCCTGACCCTCTGTGAGAGCTGCAAAGAGCTTGTGGGAAATAAAACACCCTTGGTCAGGCCTCAGAAGCTCTCTGCCTGAAACTGAACTTTTGATCTGAATTGGTTATTGCCCGGGCTGCTAGAGAGTCCACTGGGAGCACCGCCTCATCTTTGAACACCTGAACAGCAATGGCCTGTGTCAGTCTTACTCCTGCTCTGCTCCCTACTCCACGTGCACATGTCCATTCTGCGAGGTGAACCTAGGGGATGCTTTGAGGACATGTTCACATCTCCCAATGTGTGCCCTCAGAGAGGACCTGGCACAGCAAGGCCCAGTAAACATAGGCAGATGGCAAGCATCGCTTATCTTCTTTTAACAAAACTGTCTTGGAAGATAAATAACACTTGTGTGACCATGCCTCAAATATTCTTTCACTGCTGCCCAGGCGAGTCAACTCATAGCGACCCCTCCTTGGGTTTCCGAGGCAGTATCTCTACAAAAGCAGATTGCCCAATCTTCCTTCCGAGGAGTGGCTGGTGGGTTTGAACCGCCAGCCCTCTGGTTAGCAGTCAAGTGCCTTAGGC